TTTAAAAAGCTATTTCTGTTCAATTTATAATGCATATTTGTTTATAAGTTCTACGTACAGGTCCATTTCTAGAAAATATTCAGCTTCTGCTCGATTTTAAGCCTTGATGATGTTGATTTCTTTTTTCTTCGTAATACTGAGATCATTGAAAATTAGATATTTATAAAATAATCAACTGCAAAAATTGATATCCATTCACAGCCAAATCTAACGAGGCGGTAAATGAAAATTAACTATTATACAATAAAATTTACTATTAAGCAAATGTGGATTAATTCAATACATTAACGTATTTTAAATGATAAAAGGTCGTTTTTTCCTTAACTTGTAATCGGAGATTCGGTGACGTCACATTGTTACCCGAAACAGGACATCCAGCGGTTAACCAAATGTTTAAAACACGAACAAATGTGACATGGAAATGCAATTTGTGAGTGCAATTCGGTTCGCGTACAAATGGACTTGGATTACACGTTTGTGTTTTAACGAACAACGTGGATTTTGATAATTAATCCTTTGTTTTATAGTTTGCGGTATTGCATTTTTATATACGATAGCGTTAAAAATAACTATCATGAAACACAATGCTACCAATAGGCCTAACCTTAAAATCTATATCTGCAAGACGAAGAAGAAGTTGCTAAAGTAATATCGCTTTTTTTTAATAAAATGTTTAATGCGTTTTATTAAGAAAACCAGATTCAGCTATTTAGTCACCTCTGTTTTGTATAGGGTCTTTAATTTGATTGAAGCATAAAACAGATTTTTTTTCTATCATCATTTTCGAGCCTACTGAATAAAATATAGGGAGAACCAGACTCCGTGAGACCAGTTTTATTCTACATTTAATTTAATTTTAATCAAATAAATAAAAGAAAGTGTAACTTAAGAATTGAAAATTCAAGTATTCATAATACCAACCAATTATTTAATTACCAAGTAATTACCAACCAATTACAAAACCATAAAAATGCCATAACTTAGCATGAAACGAAAATTCTATATTCGATCAGTCATAGGATTTTTTATTTTAACTACTTTAAATACAATTATTGGTGAATAGACGCCGTATTCAGAGAAGTTCCAATTTACTAATTCCTCAAAAGTACGATTGTGGCAGAAATTATGATTGACTAAATTTTATATAATCATTAATCAACACATATAATTAACTTTATTTTAATGTTATGGACGGATTAAAAAGGAAAGTCTCTGTATACAAGATGGCTGAAGGAATTAGTTGAAACAATGATTAAATCAAATATAATCTTATCAGGGCCCGTTGAGACCAATGTGGATTTTTGGATTGTAATTACTGCATGTAAACGGTATGAACAGCTTTACGTACTTTCAAAAAAAGAAAATGGTGGGTGACAGAAGCATACTCGTATTGAAAATTAATATTTTCTTTTTGACACGTTATAGAGTACATAAAAAAAGCTTATGAATCAAGTAGAGATTGTGTGTCCTTTTGTGTATGAAGGTTTCAGATCTACGACTTGTTACTATTCGTTATGATTTTTTGACATAAATCTAAACTTTCTAACCAATATTCCTTGATGTATTATATTCTATTACATCTAAAGCCCGGTTCGACGGATAATCAATTTCAAATATGCAAATCTAAAATTACTCGAACAAAACATGTAACAAAAAATTACATCAACCGTTAATCAAGTTCAATGTCATCCTAATTCGATCTGATAAACTACCGGAGTAATTAAAATCGTACGGTAATATTTCCTCTATCAAAGTTACAGTTTGCCGGTTTTAGCGCGACAAACCGCATCCTTCCTTCGTCCATTTTATAGCTAACTCCTCGAAACCTTTTAGGCTTCGGAAATAGGTGTCGAATCATATTAAATTACCTTTACGAATAAATTCATGCAAACATAAGTTATATAATAATATATGGTAGCATTAAATATGTCGTTTTAATAAATTATTTCGCAATAATTATTATAGCGCAGTAGCTGCAAGGTAAGAAGTTATGGAAGGTATAGAAGGCTCATTATAGGGACTGATTTCTAAATTGTAATACAATCTACCCCTTTATCGTGTTAATATTGAATTTGTAGTTCCAGAGTATCTAGCTAAATCTCTTGTCGTTCGACGTCAGTTCAAATCGAAACACTGAAAATAAAATAGAATAGTTGATTTTCTATACTATTCAGAACAGGATCACAAGTGTGACAGGTTCGATGCTTGGGCGAATGAATGAAAGGCTGATTAAGCTTGAGAACTTGATTATATTGTACGGTAATAAAAGGAAAGAAAAAACTGTAACAAACAAAACATGAATATAGAAGCAGTTCGTATGCTTACCTAAATATATAATTAGGGGATAATGAGGTAAGACGGGGTAGCGGGTAAGACGGGGTACCCAGCGAAATTCACAGTTCAAAGTAACCAATCACACTCGTTTATTCATCATTCGATGTGCCACCATGATACTTAACAGTCACCCAGCGATTGATGGTTCGCAAGTGCACACATATCGAAAACAGTCAAAAAAGTATTTTACTGCAAACTGCTTATCATATTTTCTTCGGGTTTGACACGTGACTGTGGTTTGTTCAATAACGCTAGCTGGTGAGGTGTTGCTGTGATTGACGCTTAAACTATTCTATAATAAAGTAGGCATTGTGTTTCCTTAAGATTGTTGACTGGTATTTTTTTTTGTTTTTATTGCTAGAAAATGGCTCTATAGGCAAGATGGGGTAACTCTTGCCCCCCAATGAGAAAAGATGTTCTTGTTTGTTTTCCGTAAAAATAGCCGAACAACGAAATTTAAACGCTAAACGACGAAGGGTCTCATCATCAGAAGATGAAAGTGAAGAGGAGGGAGACAGGCTATGCGTGTATTGTTTGTAAGTATATTCTGTTTCCATTGAAGGGTGAATATCAAGCTCAGTATGTGGAAGATGGTCTCATAATAGCTGCGCAGGAATAGATAATGATGTTGATGAAGCCATGCACGTCTGCGAATTCTGCTAGCTCTAAGTAATCAACTTTCTCTGGGATCATTTTCATCACCCCATCTTACCTCAAGGGGGTACCCCATCTTACCAGCACCATGGGGCAAGACGGGGCAAAACACCTTTTTATTATTCAAATTTTTTTTCTCTAAAATATGTAACTAAAAGTTGCTACTGACATCAAATATTGGAATAGTAACAATAATTCGTTATTTAAAAAATAAATATGATTATTTCATTGTGTATTTTTTTATTTTATCGACCTTCAAAGCTTAAGTACCCCATCTTGCCACCCTCTCCCCTACATTGTTAAATAGATCAAAATATATACACCGTTTCTGGGTTTTCTGTAATATATGTAACTTGGACGATTTTTCACGAAGATATACTTTTAGATTAACATTTTTCTTATTTAAATTATAATTACTTAATTATGATGATTTTTTTACGAACTCACATTCATAACGAGCATATTGGATTAGTCAAAATTACGAAAGATGAATAATAAAAAGAAATTATATTGAAGATCAAAGACAAAAAGTTGCATGCGGAAATTTAAGACGAAATAAACGGTGGTACAGCGCACCGTTACACAAGGATTTCAGGTCTGTAGGATACCATCAAAACACTAGCTGCTCGACCACAGAGTATCAACAAGTAATAAAATAAAGTGAAATTTAAAAAAAAAAAAACAATAAACGCTGGCAGTAAAAATACGAGTATATTTTTAATAGTTTCTTTCTCGACTTTTATCATTATCATCTATGAAAACTATTTAATTTACTGTAAGTATTCAAAGCTAAATGGAAGCGAAGCCTTTAATGACGGATTATTAAAAAAAAAACATACACCTGCGGATCTTATCCCCTCATCATTTGCGGATACACTCCGCTGAGTCCGGATATTCCCATGCATGACATTCCCGATGCGAGTGGTAATTTAAGAAAATAAAATGGAACTCTTTTGTGTATTGAGTACTAAACTTTTTCTTAAACAAGAATAAAATAAATAAAAACATATTTTGCCAGCTTCGATTAGTTATTTACGTATTTTTAGTTTAATAACCGAAATACTTTTTTTTAGTTTAAATATAATATTAGTTATAATGTTATGCATTAGTAAATGTGATGATTGATAATAGATGTTTGATGATTGTAAAAGTTTTTAATAATATACTTTCATTTGACTATTGTATGTGAAACATTAGCCTTGTTATTAGTTTCTGTCTTTCGAGATTCATATTGGTTGAATATTAAGATTTCTTTTTTTTTTATTCAGTATCAATGAGACTTTGATTTCACTAACTGCTATTGTCTCCATGATTATTGAGATTTTCTTTCATCCAAGTTTCTTAAAGTGATACAATGGAAAATTGTACTAGAAACGTTAAACTTTTTGTTATACTCCGTCTACATTCACCTGTCTTCGTTGGTTATTCGAAGGCTGATATAACTGCTTGTCCTTATCTTACTGACTTGAAGACAGATGACGAAGAAAGAGACGGAACCTCCGAATCGTCGTTGTAGTCGGTAGAAGCATGTGGCACGCGTCGCTCCATTCGGTTTTCGAACGTAAGCCGGTATAGACGCCGCGGTGTGATTTCAATTCAAATTTTCGAATACTCGTGTTCGATCGTAATTTGACATTTGTTTCGAAGTTCTCTCGGTGAACTTAAAGATATAAACGACGTGTCTCTAAAGTGGTGGACTGTTAAAATCTGTGACGAAAACAATTGGAGTTGCATCGAGAGTTGGAACTAAGTGTTTAGTGACGATTTCGTGAATAAAAACAAGCACGAAAGAAATGTGACCCACATCCTGGGCGCGAAACTCTTGAGTGAAAGTTTAAACATTGTTTTCTGAAGAAGCTACGGGCGAATACTTGATGTTCACTCCGGTAGAAAATACCTAATTGAAAAACTTCCGTACGCTTATGGGAAAGAGCGCATCTGGTTGACCCGAAAAAACTGTGATAGAAATAAACGATTCGGAAGATTTATATCGCCTTTGATGTATAGAATGATTAATTACGCGCGTGCAGGGTTGCTCCTGGAGCGCTGAGGTGATCGTTGATCGGGGACGCTTTTACTAGCTTTATGAGGGAGCGAAGGTCTTTGCCGATAAGTAGCGAAGTGGCGCTGAAGAATGAAAAGGATGGAACTGGGAAATTGGTAGTGAACTCTGTTATATGCGGTGTGGTCGATGAGCTATCTAGTGGTAGGACTGGGAGACGTGGGTCGTGGGTCAGGCACGCAGTCATGGGGGTCCTCAGATGGAAGGATTTGACAGGCGTCAGGACTAGCACGCCTACTGACCAGAAAGAGGTATTGTTACAAAAATCTGTCAAGTATATAAATAGCATGGTTAACTTTTCCTCAAAGTGCATTGTGTATAACTTTATATTTAATAACTATATATAATAAGTAGAATTATATTTAGTTTTGAAAACACATTAAACAAGATATTAGTTTTATTATTTTTCTAAATATATTCTACACGGTCAAGTTATTCTTCAAAATAAAATTAAAAGTCAAAGGTAATTCAAAATATAATAAACTCAACATAGAAAAAATCATATCAACACAAAATCTTGTGTTTACGATCTACCTACTCGTTGAGGAACTAAAATTATTACGTCACGATAAACATAGTTAGGAAAAGATACGTGACTCATTGAACGGTGATCTTATTGATGCTGAATAAGAACTTATTTTTCCTTAACGTCGAATTAAATTAGGACAAAATTTTATTCCATTGTCTTACGTTCCAAAATCGGTTATTAATTTCTTGTTTGAGAAATAACATTTACTATGCACTAATTATGCAAATAAAAGCCATTGTTTTTGATGTTCAAAAAGTTTGATGTTTGTAACACATAACACAAACAAAGAATGTGTGTAATAAGTTTTACTAGCACATAATACTCGTACGTAACTATCGTTTACTTCTTACTTTTATCAAAAGCCAATACTCTAAGATTGTTGTTTTAACGTGAAATAACTACATTTGGGAAATATTACAATCTAATATTAAATATTATAAATATTATAATATTAAAATATTAATAAATAGATAAGAAAAGGCAAGTAATTATATGCGAAATTAGAAACTATGTTAATAAATTGTAAAATCCCTCGTTTCAGCTCCTGGCATGTTTTATTTAACCTAGTGTGATTATTTAAAATTATACTGTAATAACCAGATTTATGGGTCAACTTTATTGCGATTTTATTTATTTTTTATTTACAATGATTATTTTCTTTTTTAATTCAACACTAGTTAGCAGTATCCATTCTTCTCCTTGAACTCAATAGTAACACACCACCTGAAGTAAAAGCGTCCATATATATTTTAAACAAATAAAAATAACGAAAAAGGGATAGTTTCTGTTCTTGTTCAAATAAACAGGGTTATATAATATTTCAGGTTTTAAAAATAAAATGATAATTTTAAATTAATTTAAATCACATTTTATTTAGGCCAAGAGTTTTATTTAGTTAGATTACCAAAAAACAACCCGAATGAATCTTTTATAATCTGCTAAGAACAGAATAATTGTCTCTACATATTCGTTTAATAAAAAACCAACAAATGCACACCATTCAATAGCTAAGCAAGCTCAACATACAGTTTTACTGTTGTGTAATTAAATTTATCAGATAAATTATTGACATAGCTGTTATCAGATGTCCGTATTGATTTAGAATATTAGTTTCAAAACCAAATTCTAGTGATTCACAAATTGCGTAAAAACAACATGAGTAATAGTGAAACTCTCAAGATAGACTATTGTGTGTCTGTGCGTCTTGCGTGGTAATGTCATTTTGCCAAATCGCATGTGGATTGTGTTTCACGTGTTTCTGCAATTACTCGAGTGTTTTGAAAACTTTGGACGGTTGGTCTCAGGTAGGAATTTAACATTAGTTAATATCTCATTTGCCTTTTTATGTATTTTTTATTCATAACTTCTATTAAGTTAAATGGAATAGAGCTATCTGTGGAGACTTTTGATTTACGTTTTGTTGTTATATAAGTTTTCATCGTATTAGGGGCCGTTCATAAATTTCGTCACAAAATATTCATGATTTTAACCCCCCCCCCCCCCTATCTGTCATATGTGTCTATACAAATTCTACTAAATATTGTTATAATGTCACAATTCGTCGACCCCCCCCCCCCCCCTCCTAACGTGTGACGTAATTTATGGATGGCCCCTTAGCTGTTATTTTTCCAAAAAATGAATGAATAAATATAGAATAATTGTTTTCGTTATTAGTTATAAAATAACAATATCGCGTAATGTTTAATTACAAATTGTATTATCACAAATGTTTGCAAATAATTTTCCCTTTAATATTGGCACTATCCTTAGTTTATCATAATTTAAATTATGTGTTGTGTCAAATTTGTCTGCAAATGTACATAATAAATAATTATTATTTACCGTTTTGTCTCGTTTAATTAGGTACACTTCAATCTATATTTACCTATAACTTTGTTTACTATAAATCTAATAAGGCTTATTTGAGTTTATCATTATTATTGAAAATATTCTAATTAGGAGGTGTTAATTTTGTATGGATAACAATACAAATACCTATAATAACATATAAATTTTCATTTAAAGTGTAGTTTAATTGGTATAATAGCATAAAGCAATGGTATAAATATGTATAGCAAACATTACTTTTTATTTAATATGTTTTATTGGTCAAAATTAAATTATTATGAGTAACAAAAATTCTAATTAGGTAGAATGTATAAATTTTCCTTATCGCAGAATAAACAGTTACAATATGTTAAATGACTTTTTAAATGAGCTGTCAATATAACACCATGAATACTCAGAATACAATAGTCGAGTGTCGTTAGTTTATTGCGCTGATAACAGACGAAAGAAATGTTAGTTTTAAGTATTTGGTAATGAGTGGTAGTGATATGTCGGGTTTTTATGAGTGAGTTTGGATTTTTTTCTTTTATTATTAAACAATCGTATGTGACTTTTAAAAGGTCTGTTGTAGAGATCTCATTTTACATTTAAAAGAACATTTTTAGTCTTTTTTTATATCATCGGCTATCCTCTTTATGTTTCGCTGTGTTAAAATTGTTTGATGTTAACTATAGGAAAGTCTGAACAAAAGTTGAAATATGCTTTTAAACAAATTCCAGATGATATCACCAAAGATTACAATGTTATATGTTACTTTGACTCGCTGTTAGTATGTGCTAGCCATTGCGCATTCATACATAACTACTTCTTTATCATTTTCATTGACAGCTTTATTTTAAATATATAACCTAGATTGCTTTCGGAAAATTCTACATAGTAAAAATCTGGTTATAAATAATCTGCTAACACTACGCTTACTAATCGTAAAATGTTTTAAATCACTTTCAAAGTTTACAGTACTGTTTTCTACAGTGTACACTTGCGTAGACACTAGAAATCTTTTAAATTAATGATAATAATGACAGTAAAATTAATGCATTCATTGAATTAACTTAAGCACATTTACTGCGAAAATAATAACGTAACCGCTTTTGTGAAGATTCCTGAATCGTCTCGTCTCGGGTGTTCACTCAAATTACATTGTGACGAATATGACTGAAATAGTGTATTGATTCTATCATGGTTACCATTTTTTCACAGATTTTATAAATATTTTTTTATTTTCTTTTTATATTTTTGCATTTTGAATGCAATTACATTTTAAAATGTATTTTCATCCGTGCTTTATCGTCGTCTGAGACACTGACTGATAAAATATTAGTAGTGGTATCGAAATCAATTATTCTTTAAGATTAAGTAATCAAAGATTTTATGTAATTGAAGATAATTATTTACAATTACTTTGAATCTTTACCGATGTTAAGATTGTCGGTAATTTGATAAAAATATAAATTATGTACAGTAAACTTTTAAGAGTATTCAATTAATAATTTCAATTTGAAATAAGCAGTGCTCCTGTATTAATGTCTGTTACATTTGTTCATGTGAAATTGTATGCGTGTACAAAATAAATAAATAAATAAATAATAATCACTTGCCATTTAAGTATTTTAATGAACAGATTTGCTTGCTTTCATTTATATATATATGTATATATTATATAGAGGGGCAATAAAAAAAAAGACAAATTATGAATTAATTATAATATAGCAAATAAAATTTTCGATTTTACTCACTTATATTTTATTTTATGGTAAGAATTATCATTAATTATTATTATTATGTAGGAAATAGATACGTATTAAACGTTTATTAATAACGAACTAAAACGGTACGTAATTATAATAAGTGAAAATCTGAGAACTGATTATATGCAATAATATTTCAAAGATCAATATAAGCAGATATTATTTTACAATTGTTCAAGTTTATTCGCTAAATGAATGTGTTAGAATATTTTCAGTAGCGTTTTCTCCGATTTTATGGTCTCATAAATTCATATTGTCGTAAACCAAATAATGGGCTGTCGTATTATCGATTTCATGCCGCTTTCACTCACATTTTTGTGTTTGCTAATATTTTTCTAAAGAGCGATTGAAATTATGCTCCGTTTTAAAAGTCACACGTTGACTTAGTAGAATTTATATCGATAAAAGCGTGTTATTCTTCGTGTATGTTTATTATAACTGTAATAAGTAAACTTAATGCATTTGGGGCATTTTATCTTTAAGAGCCTTTCATTTCGTAATAGAGATAATATTATCAACATTACTCCAAGCTTACTACGACACCAATTTATGTTTTGTATACCAGTATTTTTATCAGATTGATAAAAGTATTTGTGAATTAAAAAAGGATATAATTTTAGCAAATCTTTCATATATTAGATGCTATATACTTTATTAAAATATGAATGAAAGAATATTTTGAATCAAAGAGCTTATGGGTTTATTTGATTGTGTAGGAGCAGTTTAAGTAAATTTCCTAAAACATAATCTACTTATACCGCATTATGACAACTGCAGTGTCAAAACCAGGTCAATCGGTGCACTTCAATTTTGCCAACGTAGTGTAATAGCGGGCCCGCGTAAGTTGGCACTTTGACAACTATTTCACGGCACATGTCCCACGTTGTCAAGCCGCGGGTCGCTGACACCAAACTTGCTCGTTTTGCGCTATAATAATGAGGAAGATATTGGTAATGGGCGCGTCAGATATGCATAATCGGGACACCAGTATTATAACGCGAGTGGGTTGTATAAAATTTTCCTGGTATCCTATATTCCAGTCAAATGATGCCAGAATTAGTCTACATATTTTATTGTTATGGTTTTTATTATTTATGTAGGTAATCGAAATAGCTGCTATTTAAAAATTATAGAAAGAAAATTTAAAAAAAAAATGTTAATTAG